TATTTTCTTTCAGTTGGACAGTGCTACTTCTCTCATCACAGCGGCCAAAAATCTAATGAACGCTGTCATTTCTACAGTGAAGGCCTCGTACGTTGCTAATACTAAGGTATGGCTATCGCTCTCTTAATTCTCACTGCATCTCTTTGTCTGGTTGAGCTTGTGTTTCTTGGGAGTTGGGTCAACCACACAATTAAATGAACATTTTATCAATGTTTTATCACTGGAAATTTATCTTTTGATGTCACACATAAATTTATACGTTTCCTTTCTGGTTTACAGCACAAGTCAGGAGATGCAAGGGTAAGAGAGGAATTCAACTTCTTATTTAAGGAAACTTTAGGCGAGGGTTTCGTTGTGTAGTTAGATACATCGTTAGGGCTTCCAATTCAAATGGTACTTTGTTATTTGCAACAAGCTTTTTGATCTCGGGAATACAATAATTTGAATTTGAAGTCACCTATACCATTTTTTTGAAACCTTGTTCTCGGTAACATCTAACTTTTCCCTTCACGGAATCTAGGGATCCAGTCTCACCTGGCGTATGCGTGCACCGGAGAAGAAACCGCTGGTTAACCTCGAGAAAGATGACCGCGTGCCACAATTACAGCGTGCAGAGAAAGTAAAACAAGAGTCGCCCATTCAGGCACTCTCTGAATTTGACACTTCGGAGACGAAACGCACACCCGACTTTTACTAGGCAGTAACATTTTACCGGCAGAGTGAACGATGAAGACTTGCTTGCACATGCATTGAATATAGTTCTTTTTATGACCCATGAAAATAAAATGCTATAGGAAACCTTTATGTAACCTGCTCAAAAGAGCTGGGATTTGTCAAGTGCGACTGTGTGAAATTCGAAACGAATTCAGACTTTTTTTTAGCTTTTTAGGTAATGGTTGTAATGAATTTAATGTTAGGTTGATATCGCCTTGTTTGAAGTACGATCTCGTAGAAAAGTAGGCGATTAAAGGCTAGATTCTCTCAGAATGAAAAATGGTTGTAAAAAATTTTGTTAAAACTACCAGAAGGAGTACATGATTTGTTAAGCGTTGTTAGGGTACAGTGGAGGCATGTTACGTTTTGCCTACGTAACTGCTGAATTTTTATAGAATGGCAAAATAATTTCTAGAGAGGAGACCCGCTACAGGCTTTGCAATTTTAGGTAGCTGTCAACAATTCAAATGGCGTCATCGTGTCGCTAAGTAAGGCTATCATTTAGGGGGCCAAAGTTGCTAAGGGAATAACGTCACGGACGGTTCTTACAAACATGACGTGTTTGTCGTTGTCAAGCGCCCTGCTTATTCAAGTCAAAGGTTTTTCTTTTGATCAGTCTGTGACAAAATTGTAACACTATTTTTGTAGTTAGGTAGCGTGGTTCCGAGAAATGCACGCAATGTCTTGCGTCACAAAATAAAACAGCACGAATCAATGGGTCTTCGCCCTAATGTCATATTCCAGGAAGCTCAAATACAGGAATAAGAGGAAATGAAAAATTTCATCCCTTCAACGGCAGCTGCACGAACACAAGTTGACAGTTAGAAATTCTTGCATTCATTTTGTAATGATGTTTTCTGCAAACCTTTGCGGTATCGACTCGGACCCCATAGATAGCTAGACAAAATGCTTTTACAGACCTGCCTGTTCTGTGGGCCAATAGTGTTACACACTGGTAGAAATGCAAGGGTACTGGAAACGAAAGACAAAGCTCACGCTTCTTTTTCGAGGGGGAGGGGGGAAGGGAGTCATTTATGTTCAAGGGAAGTTGTGGTAAAACCCAGGAATATGTAGCATCGGTATTTCATAGATTTTCAACCATCATCCAGCGAAATGTGCCATTCACTACGATAGAGAATTGGTGAATTTCAGAGAAAAAATTATTCCACAAATCTAACAAGGACATGGAACAATATATTTGACATTCAGTAACTACAAAAAACTAGATGAAATAACAATTCACTAAAAAGCCATTTTTATCCGTGTAAAGCTAACATTCTCTAACTTCATTTTTGATGGTAAGATTTTGCGGGCAATATTTGGCCCAGTCTTAAATTTGTGCTTTACTTAAAGTTCCGCCCGTGAACTTAAATTAATAGGTAAATCTCTTGGTTTGCGTGACGGGGGGGAGGGGAAAGCAGAGCAAACATAGGGTTATCAAGAAGATAGTGATTTGCCCTACTTCCCATACCACTCCACCCCCCCCCCCCCCCAAAAGCGGATTCAAAGCGGTTTGATTGTTTGACGAATGCTATTGAACACAACTAGAAGCTCCTGACTGAAATGTCTTTAAGTTCTCATTACACTAATCTAACCCTAAAAGAGTGGATACCGTATCTAGCCTAACGGAAAACTGAGTAAAAAATGGAGCACGTTTTTAAAGAGTGTAAAAAAACTAACGCCAAAGCAATCAGAAGGTCCAGTCCAAAAGGAAAATACCAGACAGAGTCAATCAGAGGTATTTTCACTTACACTGCCTAAAGCGCGGGAAATCGTGTGCGCCTAAGTCGTGATTGGTTTCTGTCTTACACCTGATTGGTTGAGAGGGTGAAACGAGATTCTCACGCCAGTTTTGGAGCAAACAAAACAAAACCAACACAAAGATAACTTCGACACTCAATTAAACTATGCTCTACTTATCTACTTGTGCAGCCCGGATTAAGCTATAATTTCTAAACAGCGAGTACTTATGTATAAATATTGACGATTTGCCTAAATCATCACTTCTTCTGTTCTACACCCAGACGATGAGAAAAATTCTAATTTTCTACTAATGGTTGTCAGACCTATCGATAAAACTTGTTTAAATAAACATCTTTGTGTTTTCAAGATTGGGAAAAGTTTATGAAATAAATCATCTTGATTCCATCGCAGGATATACATTTCCTTTCCAAGGATAAGTGTGCATTTTCTGTACCAAATTCACTACTTTTTTTTCTAATCGATCATTTCAATTTCCACACTCAAAGTTGAGACTCCAATCACAAGGTCTGAGAAAAATATGAATGCCCAGGCTTCGATCCACGATTGCAAACGCTCTGATTCCATTCATGAAACGTTTTGGCCGAGGCACTTTGGGTTAATTAGGCTATTTAAAAATATTTAATCCATCAATTGGTGAAACACCCGTCGCACCTCATATAAGACACCACACTTTTCCTTTTTTTCTCCTCAAGGCTTTGGCAAATTTCCATACTTTATCAAGAAATTGAGTCTCCGCACGAACAATGTTTTGACTTTTGAGTTAAGTGTCCAACTTCAAGACCAGCGTTCATTGTCACTCAGTAAAATCTTTTCCTGGAATCTTCTTGACGTTTCTGGTACACGTAAATAGAGACTCCAACGACACATACGGCAACAAGGGCAAACCAGAAGAGCCAGCTGAAGACCTTTACAGTCTTTGATGAAAAACTGCCTTGCACGTCCTGTACGCGTTCTTGAGAGGGTAAGAGAGAGAAAAAGAACAACAGAGAGTCGCACTATGAGTATTGACTTGATAACTGTCTGAGCAGTCTCTAGTTCATATTTAGTCTCAATCAGCCACAGTGACTGACGATATGAAATGCTATCTTAGAAGCGAGTTTCAAAACTATGCTAGACAACAGAAACATAATTACGAAAAGAGGAATTAAATCTCGAAGTATAATCGCGCCACGCGTGACGCTCGCGCGATGGTAAGCGTAAAACGAGCCTACGCCGAAGGTGACAGACCTTTAGTACTCGTTAGCTTGTAGTAATTTGCAATCATTAATACAAACATACAAGTAAAAATCAACAACAAAATGGTCATACAGAACAAAAAAGAGGAAAAATAAGGATTATTCTGTTTCCACGTTTGTAGTAGGTCAACACCCGCACTTTAACAACTAAATATTCTCCATTTACAAGGTTTTAATTTCAAGTATTTCTTACCTCTGTATTGTTCGGCACCAGATGCAAACGGAACTATTTTGGCTCGATCTTCATCAGCTCCTTTAGAATCAGACGACACTGGCATTTCAGTTTCGTAGAACTTCAAGGATATGATGTCGTGGTTATCTAAGGGAAAAAAATCAATTTTGAGTCTGGCAATCTTCAAGCTAATTTGGTTTTATCAGCTTAGGTGATCACGGAAATTGGGTGCCTAAAAGAGCTTCTGAAGCTGACGTTCGAGCGTTAGCCCTTCGTGAGAGTGAATCGTCTTCAAGCTCATTGGATAAACCTTTTTATAGCGTTAAAGGCGCGCTCTAATCAGCTACTGCAGAAATAAATGAGTTAAAATCATTTTTTGTACTATATTACCCTGCGGTTTGACTATCTACTTCGCAGTTCGGTAAATACCTACCACTAGCCACCCACACTGAGTTGAATAGGTGTTCATTATGAGACTAGCGACTCCCTAAATAGACGCTTGATATTCAAGTCGCATTGTAAGTAAAGAAAAACTCTAGGTTCATTGCAGTTCAGCAAAATGAATTTTCTCCTAAGTTAGCTTTGTCAATGATAAAATGTAAATGTCAATAAATACCAGCAAGTTGTCCTGTAGCTGCTGTTGCTCCAAAATACAATCCTGTTGGCAGCTTCACACCACCTACATCTAAACAATCCTCCCACTCGTTCTTGTTCTCTACGTCCACCAATATCTATTCATTCAATTACAACAGAATTACTGTATTCAAAATTGTCCTCATAGCTAGTTGATTATTACTAAGGTTTGTCAAAAAGTCTTTGAGGAGGTGGTTGTGTTGACAAAATGGGTAGACACTGCTAAAGCCGTGAGGAATTTTTAAGGGGGAGGGGAGGGTGAAGGCTTAAGAGACACATTTCACCAAAACATTCTTTAATCAAGATATTCTAAAATTCCCTCTAGAGTCCCCTCTAGTGTTTTTCAGTAAAGAAAATCAGAAGTGAATTATCAGATCTTCTAAAAGATAGAGATATTGATTTAAGTTTTCTCAATCTTTTAATCAGTGTTGTCAAAGCTTAGACAACCCATCCAATAAGTTGCAAAGAGGGTTTCCAAGAACCTTGAAACTTTCTCAAATTATTCCAACTTCTTCATTACAGTGAGATACAAAGTAAGAAAACCTAAGGGTCTCACTAATGTTTTTACCAGGCACTTGAGCATTGCACAGTACTGAGAAGACAGAGTAGCTTGCTGGTGAAAGCTGGCCTTTTCTTACAGCTCTAATTGTTGCCATTAGATAGCACGACAACAGTGGAGTTACACATTCATCAGGTAAATTGGGCTTCATGCTGCTGTCAGTCGTGTTGTGGACCTCTCAGGAAAATAACTGTCATACTTTGAAATAGTTCAAATGCATAATATTATGACTTCAAGGGCAATTCGTAAATTCCAATCCAAGGATATACCCTAAGTATAAATGGCCAACTAAGAAGCATAGGGTGAGTGCCCCCTCCCCCTCCCACCCCTCTCAAGAGAATTAGGGTCTGACCTTTCAAGATCAAATTGTGGTTGGATCAATGTCATTATCTGAGAAACTGCACACCTACCCCTCCACTGACTCAACAAAAGTCAACTGATAACAACTTAATGTTGGGTCAGGGGAGGGGAGGGTAGGTGTGCAAGGATACTGACATTGATCCAAAGTGTTTATCAAGGGTTTGTCACATAATTGTCAACTTACTGTCAGACGATTCTGTGTTCCAGAATAACGGATCAGTGCATAGGTATCATGACCTCTTCCACGAAAACTTTGCTGCAATATGAAAAAATACATTGTAGTGTGAGTACACTAGGCACTCCAATCTATCAGTGCTTTACCTCAGTGTAACAAACAGGATACACAACATACAAGTTATACACATAAACTTTAATAACCTAAACTTCATCATAGATACATAAGTTCCAAAGAAGCTCACATATTTTTAAACCCATTTATTTATTGCATGATGGTGCCATTTTTAACAAATCAACAATAACAATTATACATCCCTTATTTTCACTAAACTGATCTAGACTTCTGTTTAAGTCGCCAACACATCTATCCCACACCAGGTTCACAGTTGGCGGAAAATGGTGAAAACACAAGCAAGTGAAACCTCCTCCCTCCTTGCTCTGACAAAGGGCTAATGCTCAAAATGTCAGCCTTTAAACTCTTTGCGGTGACCAATTTAAGTTTTCAAATCAGTTGTTGCCACTAAACTACCTGTTCTCCTCCCCCTTTGTTCTTTTTCCCACTCGCCCCAATTTTTTGCTTGTTTACATAAACTTACTGCCTGGAACAAGCTAGGAATGTTACTACCTATAACTGACAACAGTTCTATTCTGGACTATTCTCACTGATGATCAGACTACACAATCACATATAACTACTGGCTTCAAACCATATCAAGAAAAAAAGTAACAATGCTGGAGGTTTCTCTATGTACATGTACTTACTGAGCAGCCAGCCACTTGACTATGTGTTCCATCTCGATCGTGATCGTAGTGAAGAGA